CAGAGGCAGAGGCAGAGGCAGAGGCAGAGGCAGAGGCAGAGGCAGAGCCAGAGGCAGAGGCAGGCAGATCTCTGAGTTCAATGACAGCCTGGTCTACAGAGTGAGTTCCAAGTCAGCCAGTTTTCAAGCCCTGTCTTGAAAAACAAAGACAAACAAGGCTGGTACATGTTGAGGTGAAAAAAACACTAAACCCTAAACTGTCTCATTCCTGTGAGAAATTAGCAAAGAAAAGAAATGTTTTGAAAGTCCAAGTAAAGCACATCTATTCGTGATTGTAATGAGTGACACGAGTAATATATTTCTCATTTAAACTTCTGAGCTATGTGTCATCTGCTGTGTAAAGTTATTTTGGATTAGGAGTTAGGAGACTGGTTGGGATTACAAACTGCAGGTGGGTTATTGGGGTTCTGGTGATAGTTAAGAAGATAGAGTTGAGGGGATTTTAATATTGTTGTATGTATGTATGTAATGTATGTATGTATGTATGTATGTATTTGGTTATTTGGTTTTTCGAGACAAGGTTTCTGCCTGCTTCTGTTGTGTGTGTGTGTGTGTGTGTGTGTGTGTGTGTGTGTGCTGAGACAGGGCTTCTCTGTAACAGTGCTAGCTATCCTGGAACTAGCAATGTACATCAGGCTAGCCTCAAACTCACAGAAAGCCACCTGCCTTTGTCTCCTGAGTGCTAGGATTAAAGGAATGTGTCACCACAGCCCAGTTTAGGGTATGTAATATTTTAAAGATTCATTTATTTATGTGTAGGAGTGTTTTGACTGCATGAATGTCTGTGTACCATGTGTATGCAGTACCCAAAGAGACTAAAAGAGGGTGTTGGAACCTTTGGAACTGGAGTTACATACAGTTGTGAGCTGTTACTGGGGCACTGGGAGCCAAGCTAGGTCTTCTGTAAGAGCAGCAAGTGCTGTTAACCATTTCCAGCTCCAGACCCAGCATTTAAGATTGTAAAACACTTGATGTCTGTTCTAGTTAGCTATCTTCTTCTCCTTAACTATCCTTCCATCCCTAACAGTCAATTTATAGATTAGAGCCACAGAGAAAGTTTGATCAGTTGCATTGATTTATAGCATTGGAAATAATTGATTCCCAGAATCAGTTACCTTCAGCCACACCCAGATCACAGAGCTGTTTAAGAGGAAACTTTAAAAAAATAATTACTATTTTAATGTGTTTAAGTGTTTTGCTTGCATCTATATTTGTGTTCCATGTGTGTACCCACAGAAGCCAGAGCTGGAGCTCCTGGAACTGGAGTTATTGGAGGTCTGAGCTATGGTGTGGATACTGAAAACCAACCCCAGGTCCTCTGCAGGTGTAGTGAGTACTCTTTGTGAGGATTCAGGCATTATGCTGGCCTGTCCCTGCCACCTGGCAGAATGCACTCAGGCTGTACCCTGGTCAGGCCAGGGTTCCATGATTGTGTAGTCTGCAACCAGGATCCCTTTAAAAGAAAGACCTTTTGCCCTCTTATGCTCTCTTTTTTTCCAGCTCTCTTTCTGCTCTCTTCTCTTTCCAGCTCTCTTCCCTGCTGTTCCCCTGGAGCAGACAGGACTTTTCCTGTCTCCTCCTTCTCTTCTGTCCTCTCTCTGTGTCTTTTTACCTCTTTTCTCTTTCCTTTCCCCTCCCTCCTCTTTCTAATGAAACTTCTCACTTAAGCTCAGTCTGCCTGCCTGCCTAGCTCTGTAGACCAGGCTGGCCCCAGATCAGAGATCTGCCTCTACATCCCAAGGGCTGGGTTTGCTAGTCAAGTAGTAGTGATATAAACCTTTAATCCCAGCACTCGATAGGCAGAGGCAGGCAGATCTCTGAGTTAGGGGCCAGCCTGGTCTACAGAGTAAGTTCCATGACAGCCAGGACTACACAGAGAAACCTTGTCTCGAAAAACTTAGAGAAAAGAAAAAAAGAGGTTTACTATTAACCATCATATATGCACAAACATAATGCATACTAAACATTAAACAGTATGTGTATATAGGTAGTATGTATATAGTTTTTCTGGTGTCACAGTCCCTAGGACAGCTATCTAGAAGAGTGTCATGACAAGTATGTTGCTTTTCCCATTTTACTATCTTTCCACAAATAGTAGCTTTGTCCTCACAGAATCTCAGGGTAGTTATCCTCTCAAATTGTGATCTCCATACTCATTATGTCTCTTTAGCGCTCATGCATAAAATGCTCCAAATCTTAGTGAACACCTGAAGGAATAAGATGCAAACAAACATCATGTGGTTGATGCCTGGTGGTTACCTGTGACCTGTGAAGCTTGATTACAGTTTATATTGTGTTTTCTCTCCTCCAGACGTGCCAGGACTTTCGTGGACAAGTTTTAAAGTGGAGTCACAGACAGGTGGTGGTGGCACACGCCTTTAATCCCAGCACTTGGGAGGTAGAGACAGTTAGTTCGAAGCCAGCCTGGTCTACAGAGTGAGTTCCAAGACAGCCAGGACTACACAGTGAAACCCTGTCTTAAAAAAAAATAACAAAAACAAAACAAACAAAAGATTAGGGGTATGAATAGTCTCACTCAACTGTTTTTTTGTTTATTTGTTTGTTGTTGTTTTGTTTTGTCAGGCATCCACTGCCTGGAAAATGTAAGGACACTAACTAAAATTGGATCATCTGCTCACTCCAAGCAATGGTGTGAGGGCTTGTGCCTCTCAGCATCTGTGGAAAAGGTCTCTGGGCCAGTGCAGGGATCAGTAGTAATTAATTGTACTTTGTCCCCAGTGTACACAATCACAGTAGGAAGTGCAACATCTATAATTCAAGATATTTTTTTTGAATGGTGTAAAGGAAGTGAAAGCCTTGCTAGTCTACAAGTTGGAAAACTTCTCGATAACAAAAACTGAAGCTTTACAAAATAAAATATTTACACTGCTCATTGTCTCCCCAGAAACAAAAGTCATGTACATAGAGCTAGACAAAACTTACAGATGGGCACTTGGAATAAAGGTGAGTAAATAAGTGGATACAAATAGATAAATTTAATTACACAGAAAGAGGACACTCAAAGGTAGTCACACACACATACATGCTCTTATTGTCCTACTGTGGCCTAAGAGAAAAATCTAGATCTTTGAAGGTAAATTGAGTGTAGACTCACAGGCCAAATAATAACCTAGAAGAAACTGTTTAATGCCATCCTTTATCTCTTATGCGTTGGTCTTGTGTTTGCTTTAGTCATTGGGGTCTACTGTCACAATTATTGACACATCAGTTTATCAACTCTACCATGCCACATTCCTGTCTAAATGAATAAGTAGCCAAAATAAAGAAGTAAACTTGGAAATGAATATGAAATACCATACTAAAAGCTGTTTTCATGCTGTGATGGCTGGTCTAAATGTCAAGTTACCACAAATTAGAGTCACATGGGGACAGGAGGCCTCAGTTGAGGAATCACCTCCAGCAGATTGGCCCGCAGGCATGTCTAGGGTGTTTCTGTTTAATGACTGATATAGGAGGACTCAGTCCACTGTGTGTAGTGCCATCCCCTTGGAAGGTAGTCCTGTAAGAAAGTCACTGAGCATGTTGGAAGAAAGCAAGCCAGTGAGCAGCCTTCCTCTCTGGTCTTCATTTCCTGCTCCAGCTTCCTACCTTGAGTTCCTGCAGAACCTGTAAACTAAAAGCACTTCCTCCTCAAGTTGCTTTTGGTTATGGTTTCACCCCAGCATCAGAAACGCACCTGGAACACCTGCCTAAGGTCTGCCCTTCTTTGCTAAAAATTAGGAAAAGTGAGAAAAGATAATAAGACAAATATGTGCAGATCTATGCTTAGCTTCCATAGGAGTCAGAAAGACTGGAAGAAAGTAGGGAAGGGAATTCCATTCTTACTGCCATTCATTGTTATTTAATGTAAAGCTTGTGTGACAATTAAAAAAAAATCTTTAGCTACTGATGGGGAATGTGTATATGTTTGTCTTACTGGTTGATGAATAAAGCACTGTTGGCCAATGAGGATGCAGGATAGGTAGGACTAGGAGTTGAGGAGGATTCTGGGAAAGGTATTATAGACATAGTCTGGATGTGAGCCCTGGAAAAGAGGATGCATGCCTCGGCGTCCTCAATAAGATAAGTCTTTATAAAATATATAGATTAAGAAATCCTAGTCAGTGGCCAGCAGCATTGTACCTAATATAAATCTCTGTGTGGCAGGGGGGCTCAGGCAGCTTGTCATAAAGACTTATCATCACAAGCTACTGGTTCATTTTGAAGAAAACTACAGTTAATGCATTTCCCACCAATAATACTTAAATGCAGGTTCCTTTATGGTCTGGTCATATTTGCAAACTACAAAAGGCAGTAGATGCCACTGAGCATGGCCAAAGCCCCACAAAATTCAGATGCACAGTAGCTAAGCTACACTCATCATTTGACCTTTCATTTGCTTGTTTTCAGTCACATCCTGTTTTTGTTATGTAATTACCAATGGGATCCTGGGCAAATCCCTCCTTTCTGAGTCGTAGTTTCACTTAAAAAAATACAACTGGCTTCATTTCATGGGAATACTGCCATTATCCTGCCGAAAGAAAAGCCATATTGATTGTTTCTGATTTTGCTTTTCTGGGGGGTAAAATCATGACACCTTGACAGGGACATCAAACTGTTAAAAAACAAAAAAATACAGCTGGTGTTAGGCTTGTTTGTATGGTTAGAATGTTGTAAAGGTTCAGCGTTTCAGAACAGTGACCCATTAACAATCATGGTTACTGTTTTATTACCACATTGTACACTGCCCTGCTGCTTGCTGTGTGGGCTGAACAGGTTTTTGAGTTTTTCATGGAAGGAAAAGCAGACCACCATTGTTTAGAAGTAAATCTCACACGCGCATGCATGCACAGTCCAGTTTTCAGCTGGCTGACTTTGTAGGAAGAGCAGACCTCAAACTGACTTCCCTTTTGCGCTCACATACCATGGGGCAAACATTTTCTGAAAGGACACACCAAGAGAAGCACCCACAGTTAGGGACTCAAAAAGAACTTGCAAGTCACCCCTTCTGAGTCACCCTAATGTCCTCTCTTGCTCCGTGGCAGTGTTCATCTGGCATGCTCAAGGTCTTGGGTTCAATTACCAACACTGCAAAAAATAATAAATAAGTAAAGGGCCATTGAATTATAATGAATAAGACAAGATTGAACAGTAAAGAGGGGAGTGCTGAAGCAGGGCATGAATGAAAGAGAACAAACACATGATTTTTTTCAAGGGAAAAAATCAGAATAAAAGTAAAAAAGAAAGGTCCAGCACAGACAGGCAAGCCAGTGTCAAGTGCGAGGCCCACAAAGAACATCCCTCAGTTTAAGGGAGACTGCACAGAAGACAAAAATGGTGATTTAAGGAAGATGGCAACAAATGGATGACTCTAAGTTGACCATAATTAGGAAGAAAAAGACAAAGTGTTTGGCCAAGAGCTAAACATCTGTTTTGTGTATGTTATACTCATGTCACTAGTGTTGACATGTCTCATGTTATACTCATGTCAGTAGTGTTGACGTGTCTCATGTGAAAAACAACGCAAAGGTTTGATGCTCTTCCTCAAGATACATTCCTGCCTCTAGCCAAGCCTCACATGAGAAATGCAGCAGAAAGTCCACCTTTTTTCAAGATGAACTACACAGAGGTGGTGGTTGTCTGGCTTCCACTAGGAACATTAGGAAGCATAAATCCATGGAAAAATGTTTTCCAGCAACATGACATTACAGATAAAATTTCTAAACCTGGAAAATATTTAGTGGAAATGTGTTGTTTTTCTCAGTTGCATGGAAAGCATAACTGAAACTGGACTCACTGGAAGGGCTTGGTGGTGATGTTTCAAACCCAAACCTTCAATATTATACTAAAAAGAAAATAATATGATCATGCTGAGTAAAGTGGCTTGGGGGGTGGAGGCAGAAAGTCAGTTAAGTTATCTATATCGTGAGCTCAAGGCAAACATGAGGTCCTGTCTCAAAGACAACCAACAGTCCAAAGGCAAACAAAAACCAAAACTAAGTGTGTAATCATCAGCACTGTAATTCCTTTTTAATTCCTTTTTTTTTTTTTTTTTTTAAAAGAAATCGCCTCCCTCCCTGTGATAAACAGTACCTGGTATAAATGTGACTCAGGGGACAGCCATTATTTTGGCTGAATTTAAAAAAAGAACTGAGGAATTATAAGCACGAATACTGACACCTAGCTCCTAGCCAAGGCAGTCAGATTTTGCATTTAGATGGAATGCACCCAGTCATTAAAGTTTCAAAATCTCCCCGGGAGATTCTTAACACCCATTAGAACTTGTGAAGCACCAAAAACCTTAAGAAAGGGGCCCTGGTGGCTAGCATGGCCTTTCCCAGGAAGCACTGTTAGTTACTGAGGATGGGTTAGAATCTGGACTTTCCCAAACCTCCTGTGGAAGACTGGCATGGAAAGACTGGGGAGCAGTCTGGAGGAACTCTTGTCAGTTGTGGATTTTGTCTTTCTCTGATGTTAGACAGCAATTATACAACAAATAACAGATTGAAGAAGAACCGAGTGCCTTCATTCTCTAAGGCAGGGAAACAGTTTTTCATCTGTCTCTAAGGCACTCTCTGGGGAAACAAAAGGTGGATGGCACAGCAAGATCTATCCATGTAAGGCTGGCACATAAAGCATAAGCTGCCTAATACAGAATGGATATCAGATACACAATTTCCTTTTGTGTGTTTATCAAAATATGTCTCAAGTATCACATGGAATGCATGTATTGTAAAAGCACTCACTGTTTATGTGTGATCCAAATTTGTCTGCACATCCTGCATTTTTCTTCTGCTAAATCTGGCATCTTCTTACATACTCCCAGGAGAGTCTCTGGGTTCTACCAGTGGGAAGTGGGAAACGACACCATACATGGCCAAGTGCCTGCCCACAAGCTGTCTAGACTAATTGACGGTGTTGTTTCTCAGCCGTCCAGATGGCCAAGACTGACTTCCCCAAGCCAGGCTTGTGACTCATTCGGTTGGGAGATTAATGGGAAATTTACTTGCTGACTCAGGAAGACATGAACTTGGCAAACTTTTCCTTCCATTTAAATCAAAGGGGGGAGAAATCCAAAATAAATACCGAGTACAGGAAAATATGGGGAAACATTTTAACATGAGAGAATAAGCAAGTTAATCACATTTTAGTTTATTACTTTAAAAAAAAAAAAAAGACAGGATCTCACTATGTAGCACTGGCTGTGTAGACCAACCTGGCTTCAAATTCAAAGAGATCTGACTGCCTCTTCCTCCTGAGAGTGCTGGGATTAAAAGTATGCACCTCTAAACCAGGAACAGGGTCTTACAGCTCTTAAGAGAATAAATCTAGACAAGAAGTAAAGGACTAATGCAAGTCAAACTTCAAACACGGGACAAGAAACGGACAATAATACTAGGAATGGAAAGACCTATCATGCTCATGGACTGGAAGAATCAATATTGGGAAAATGGATGCACTACCAATAGTAACTTATAGATTCCTGGCAATCTCCATATGTCTTTAATCCCAGCACTTGGGAGGCAGAAGCAGATGGATCTCTGTGAGTTCAAGGCCAGCCTGGTCTACAGAGTGAGTTCCAGGACAGCCTCCAAAGCTACAGGGAAACCCTGTCTAGAAAAACAACAACAACAACAACAACAACAACAACAACAACAACAAAAGAGCACTTACTCCTCTCCCAGAGGACTTGGGTTTGCTTCCCAGTGGCTCACAACTGCTTGTAACTTCAGTACCATGGGGAGTCTGAGGTCTTTGGTCTTCTTAAGCACTTGAAGTTACAGACACATACCCACATACATACACATAAATTCTTTCTTCTTTCAACCTGTCCTGGAACTTGTTCTGTAGACCAGGCTGGCCTCAAACTCAGAGATCTGCCTGCCTCTGCCTCTGCCTCCTGAGTGCTGGGAATAAAGGTATGCACCAGCACCACCCAGTTCACACACTTTTAAAAATCCATTCCAGTGTGAATCTTCAAAGAAATAGAAAAACTGTATTAAAATTTACATAGATGCATAAAAGACATCAGAATGTCAAAGAACCATGAGAACAATGGACAAAAAGAACAATGCTGGAGGTGCTCAGATTTGGCTCCAGAATAAACTATTTCATAGTCACCTTTGAGTGAGAGCTGGATGTCAACAAGGAAAAGACAGCCTTTTCAATAGTTGTTGCTGGGAAAACAGTATATCCATGTATAGAGAAATGAAACTAGATCCCCTTCTCTTACTCTGTATGACAAACAACTCCACAAGAATCAAAGACCTTAATGTAAGACCTGAAATTCTAAAACTGATAGAGGAAAATGCAGGGGAAACATATCAAGATATCAATACAGACAATAAAGTGTTTCTTAATAGCAAGGACAACATCAAATGCAGAAATGGCTTACAGTATGGGAGAAAAGATTTGCTAGCCATGCATCTGACAGAAGACTGATATCCAGAATGTACAGCTGGGCATGGTGATATACACCTTTAATCCCAGCACTTGAGAGGCAGAGGCAGGCAAATATCTGAGTTTGATAGCTTAATCTGCAGAGCGAGTGCCAGGATAGTCAGGGCTATATAGAGAAACCCTGTCTCAAAAAAAAATCTATAATATACAAAAATTCAACACACTAAACACCAAAAAGGGAGGGGGAAATCAACAACCCAATTAATAAATGGGCAACAAAATAGGAAGATAGTACTCAAACTATGAAACACAAATAGCCAGTAAGCATATAAAAAATAGTCAACATCACTATCCATCAGAAAAAGACAAAACAAAAGCAAAAATAGAAATAAAACACCATTGAGATTCCATCTCACCCTAGTCAGAGTGGCAGCCACCAGAAATGTCAGTGAGGATGTGAACCAAAGAGAACCATTACATTCTGCTGGTGGGTAGGGGTATGCCCTATGTACATTATATGCTTGTGTGAAAATAGCTTTATGTAACCCAGTAAATCAAAATAAAATTTAAAACCAGAGAGGGAGTGAGAAAGAATGAATTCCCTGGTCTTGTCACCTGTGACAACTGAATGAAATCTATTTGGCTAGAGTATAAGAGGGCAGCTCACTATCTTTGAGGTGGTAAATTTTATGATACTATTCATCTTCCCTGAGTCTGGCTATTTTGAGTGAGGTGCTGTGGGCCATGGGGAGTTATGCTCTAACTGTATGGAGAAGGCACCACAAACCACTACTGTATCTAGTCCAAGCGGCTCAGTCTGACCATTAAAGGTAGACAGTTTTGCTTTTTAGCTTTGGCCTTCTTGCTCTATACAAAGTGTTCAATGAGAACATTATAGAAAACACACAATTCTTTTGTATTAATAATTTTTCTTATTAAATAAGTTCATTGTTGCTGTGCCTGACAGAATATGTTTATAATCCCAGCACCTGGAAGGCAAAACAAACAATAGCAATAATACTCCCCCAAACTTACAGGTATATTTTAATTCCTCCATAATGAGTGGTACCACCCTTCTCTTTCATATCTTTCTGCTGAGGTTCACCCTTTGTGCTTCAAGGAACCACTAGCTATGATACTGAAATATGCTACTTGTGAACAAAATGTCCTAAAAAGAAGCTGTGTCTGATTGTGAACAAAAAACTTCTGGAAG